TGGGTAGACTCGCCCCGGTTTACGGTAGCATAAAACATAAAAAAGGCATAGAGTTAAAGAATTTAACCCTAAGTAATGAGAAGAATAATCTGGTATAACTTTTTTTAAATGCATAGAATCATTACTGTCCTAAAAAAGTCTTAACTCAAGAAACTCATGTGGCCCTTTCTTGATTCCAAAAAATTTAAAGATCGCCTAATAGGAACAACTGATAAATATAATAACATACAGAAAAATTATATGTAGCCATATATTAAAATATAAGTCATTATCAGGACTAGTTTACACAGTTTTTTTTTTTTTAAACCATGCAAAATATAAATTAAATTTTTATAACACTAGGTAGAAGTGAATATGTTTATGCTTCTTATAGAAAAAAAATTTGTTTTGTAAAAATGGTTTTATTTATTTAAAGGTTTATTTATCTCTTTTCTTAGCATTAAAAGCATATTTGATTCGAAAAAAATTTAGTCTTTACTACATAATCACACTTTTAGTGTTTCTTACAACTAAACATACAAAAACAGTTTATCCAAAGCAACAAAAAAGAAAATTCAATGATATTTGATACTAACAGCAATTACCTCATATCGAATTTCTTGATAAACTTTCAATTTGTTGTCCAAAACAACTAATGACTTAGAGGGTTTGTTATCACCTGAAAATAAAAAACTAATGTCGCCACGCNAAGTCTATAAGAGTCGTGTCAAGCCTGAAAAAAAAAATCTTATAATACAGTCACAGTTTGATTCCAACATAATATTTAGTTGCATATTGTTTTATTTAATGCCTTCTTTTTGTTTAAAACCAAAATCTTTTACACTGATGCAATGATCAGCAAAATTATAAATAAATAATTTAAAAAGCAAAACATGTATAAAACTTTTTACTAATAAGTTTAAAAGACAATATGAGGTTATTAAAAGACAATATGCTACAATAATAAGTTTAAAAGACATGTAGTAATATAAAAAGTTATTTTAAAGGATATTTTGTATTTTTGTTTCTTGTTAGTGTTTGCAAGAAAAGTACACCTCATTTAGTTCTAATTTACGGATTAATAAATAAGAAAGTAATTTTTTATCAACTAGCGAAATTACTAAAAGTAGTCCCTTTTTCATGTTTAAGGTAAGGTTAGTCTTAGATTAATTCAGTCTGAAAAGCTTAAATGCAAATTCACAGAACAACAAAGTATTAAGTTTAAATAATATACATATATTTTAGGAAGACAGCTGAGTGACTGCAATTTTCAAGCTGTTACCTAGCAGGTAGCAAAATGAAATACTTTTAAATAAAATGTAAAATAAATGTGATTAGCAAAACGACAAAAAATAAATAAATAAAATAAGGAAATTACTGTTGCATTGTTTGAACAATTTTTTTCTCTTCACAGAAAATGCTTGATGACTGAGAAACAAAAGAATAAGAAAAGCAAATCAATTACAGTTAATAATTTTTTAATTTCAAATGTCATCTCATTTGAGATGCTGATTTTTTTTTATTAACAATTAGTACAACTTATATCACCATAGTAAAAAATTTAATTAATAGGTTGAAAAAAATATCCAAATATCTATTTTTGATTTAATTTTTATTTCTTGGTGCATGACATTGTAAATAAGTTCCATAGCAAAAATGTGAAAATTTGAAGTGTAAGTTTGAGAATTTTTATAGAAATTTCAAATACTTTTAATTGATTAATCTGAGACTACTCTTTACATTTCAGACACTAATCTTTCAAACAATTATTACTAGACTTGCTTTAGACTTGAAAATTGAGTAAATATAGAAATGTAAAACATACCATATTATCACTTTAAGCATTAAAACCTAAACCATAGCAATTTCATAAATTAAATTTAACCAACCTAATCATAAATTTATCCAACAACTTTTATAGAGCAGTTAGAAAAAAAAACTAATTTTCATTTTGGTTAAAATTTTTTATTATTTAAATTTGGCAAAGAATAAACTTTAAAATTTTTACCTGATGTTTGATCCTTTCTTATGGATCCGACAAATATCAGATGGTAAGATTTTTGACACCAATGGCACTGGAGAAAAAAAATGCAAATTTGTTAATTTAATAAAAAATTCAATTTGTTAATTTATGAGAAATTAGGAATAAAACAACTAACCCCAGCTTTTGAAATCCCATTTTAGTTCCATGTAAAAATTTCCCATCTGTTCTAAAGCAGAAATAAGGTCAGGCCTTCGAGTTTCAATTGCCTCTCTGGACTGTTGTTTCATTTTACGAAGAAGAGATGATACTATAAAGAATATATTAGAATCAACAATAGACAAAAAGACATTGTAATGATATGGTAGTAGTTTAGAAGAAATGTGCAGAGTTGGAGAATTGTCTTTGTTCACTTACTATTGGCTAATTTTATTCTCAAATAACTTCTACTGAAACTATCCAGGTTAAATCCCGGCACTATTAACATGCTTGACAGCATGTTTAAGTAAATTAAAGCAGTTGACAAAATAGTTAAATAAAAAATCACCAGGATTGTTAAACTCAATACAAATTGTAAT